CTTCATGCAGGGCTTCAAACGTCTTCGTTCCAGTGTGAACTCCTGCTGCAAATTTGCTTTTCTACCTCAGATATACTGAATCCAAATCTATGTCTTAACAATTGCCCAGGTGATTCTTACAGATCTTTAGGTGATTTGCATGTGTACATGTATACATAGGAATCACCCAGGGACCTTATTACAATGTAGATTCTGATTCAGTATATTGGGGTGGAAATGCAAATTTTCAGCAGGGAGTCAAGCTAGAAGGAACTGCTTCTAAGCTCTGCCTTAATAGCATGCTTCATGTCACATGGTCCACTTCAAATGCCCACTGATCAGACTTTTCCACTAAATATTGAGCACTGGCAAGGCAGGATCTGTCTTGTTCACTCCTGTATTTCCAGCTCCAGCACAAGGTGTGGCACATAGTAAGCACATTAAATGAAGTAATGAATTAATAAATAAATAAAAGAAGATCTCTAATTCTCTCAATATTTGCAAGGGTGTCACATTTTTCAGAATGTTACTTGTGAGCTAGTAGATTTGTGAGCTTTAGAGTTCACAGACTCAGTTGTTTCAAACTGTGATCTATGAATCTATAAGAACCTAGGGAGACTTAAGGTGGGGCTCCTCACAATCCACTCTCAAAACCAACCAAATTCACTGCTATCAAGTGAATTCTAATGCACACCAACCCCACTGGGTTTCCAAGGCCGTAAATCTTTATGGAAGCAGACTGTCTCATCTTTCTTCCATGAAGCAACTGGTGGGTTTGAACCACTAACCTTTTGATTAGCAGCCAAAGGCTTTAACCACTACACCACCAGAGCTCCTTGGCAATCTGTTCTAGCTTCTACCAAAACAACTCTACACTTACCTGGTCCACATAATCACTCATCCAATTATCCAAGTATTCAACAAGTAATTACTTAGTATCCATCTAGAAGAGTGAATGGGACGTAACCAATCACTAACTACACATATTTACATTGTAATGGGAAAGTGACACAATAAAATAAACACAGAAGCAATATAAGATACTAAAACTAGTAAGTGAGATGCAGAGAATTAAAATATGAGTGAATGGGTGGAAAGTTTAGAGGATTCTATGAGACGGTGGCATTCCAGCTAAGCCTGGGGTTCTGTGTAAGATTTAATTACAAAAAAAAAAAAAAAAAATGTGCACCACTGCTAAAATTTAAAAAAGAAGACGAATGCCACTGCTGTCATCCATCAGATCATTTTATAGATGAGGACACTGAAAGTCAGAGAGGGGCGGAGCCCAAGGCCAAACAGTGAGTTTATTAGCAGTGCCAGGATGGATGAAGAGAAGTGTTGATGCAGTGATAGTATCCTCATCTTCCATATGGGAGACCTGGGTTCCACTTCTGGCGAATGGATCTCATGTGCAGCCACCACCCATCTGTCAGTGGAAGCTTGCATGTTAGTATGATGCCAAACAGGTTTCAGCAGAGTATCCAGACTAAGACAGACTAAGAAAAACACTCAACAAGCTACTTCCAAACTCAGCCAATGAAGACCCTATCACAACAGTATGATCTGTGAATGATCGTGGGGATGGCACAGAATGGTGCAGTGTTTCATTCCATCGTGCATATGGTTATGAGGCGGGGGCCAATTTGACCAGCTCACAACAACAGTCAGGAAGTATTAGGATAGTTCCATCTGAATCCCAGTGTGGGATGCTGGAGGAACTTCAGATCTCCCCTAAGATACTAGAAAGATCGGAGAAGAAAGAGCTAGGTAATGTGGTTGTGGGGGAGGTAGGATATGGTGGACCGTGGGCTAGTGGCTGGTTGACCAGAGGTGAGTGGGTTTCCCTGCCTCTGTGGGTGGCCCAGTGGCCATTCAAGGAGGTTTATGTCCTGGAGGGTCATAAAAGGGCCCAGCAAATTGTAAAGACAAAGTCAGGAGTGGAGCTCTGTTTCAGCTTCCACCCAAACTCCCAGAGCTGTGGGAAACCTAATAAAGTGGAATGCCTTTCCTTATCCACAGGCAGGACAGCCACTGAGATAACTCATGCAGCAGCTTTCATCTAGGGCTCTGTCCTTCTGCCTGCTTGCCTCTTCTCTTAGCCTTTATCTAGAAAACCTCCCTTTCATGTGAGATGGAGAAAGTTATAGTTCAAAATCCAACAGAACTAATGGGAAAGATCCCTTTTATTCCTTGACCAAGCTCTCATCTGCTCCCTACAGGGCCTCAAATTCTTGGAGGGCTGTAGCAGAGTGTCATAAAGACTCAGAGTGAGAGTTCAAGGATAACCCACCAAACTCAGCACAACTCTGGGCAGCTCATTTAATTTCAAACCCATTGCCTCTAAGTTGATTCTGACTTATGGTGGCTCTGTGAGTTACAGAGTAGAACTATACTCCTCAGGGTTTTCTTGATTGTGATTTTTTTTTTTTTCTTTAATTGTGCTTTGGATGCAAATTTACAAAGCAAACTTGTTTCACATTCAACTGTTCATGCACATCTGATTTCATACCGTTTCCAACCATAAAAAACTCTCCTCCCCGTGACCACTTCCTCCCTGTGCCCTTCTTATCTATGCATTCCTGTCTGCCCAGCTTTCCCTCTACATAAGTGCTACCTTCTGGTGTCTCATGGCTGATTGATCCAAGGGATGCATTTCTCTAGAGTAGATGGGTGTATCACCCTGGGGTAGGTGGTCTGTATGTAGTTGACTGTAATCTTCATGAAAGCAGATCCCAGGCATTTTCTTCCATCTCACTGCTGGGTGGTTTCAAACTAGTTAGCACAACACCATTTATGCCACCTTGTTGTTGTTGTTATGTGCCATCGAGTCGGACCTGACTCATAGCAACCCCTCCTTGGGTTTCCGAGGCAGTTTCCGAGGCAGTATCACTACAGAAGTAGATTGCCCCATCTTCCTTCTGAGGAGTGCCACCTAGGGACCACTATTTCCTTGTCACCCATGAAATGGGGAGAATACCCTACCTTGCTCAGCTTACAGGGTCATTTTAAAACTTTTTAAAGCATGAACTCCTGCCCAATAAGTATTTCAGGAAGCCATGCAATTTTCTACAGTGGATGTTGCCCAGGTTTGGGCTACTACACTGTTTCCCTGATCATTACAACAGCCTCTAGGGTCTCCCTGTCTCCTCCTTGCCCTGACCTCACTAGTCCATTCTTAGAACTTCAGTCAGAGGAAGATCTGATGATATCATCCTTCTGTGAAAAACACTTAAAAGCTTCTCATTACCCTCGGGAGATAATCCAAACTCCTTAACCCTACTTAAAGGGCATTCAGGATCTGGCCCTTGCTGACCTCTTTTCTTATCTCTTTCCACTCCTGCTGTCTGGCACTTTGCTCCAACTACATGGAAATTCTTTCAGTTTCTCCAAACACAGTGTTTACCAAAGCGTAGGAGTTCCCCTGGGGGATTGGAAAGGATTTGGGGTGGTTCTCAAGAAGATCACAGATCCACTACTCAACAGTGAACCTCAGAAGAAGAAGGCTTTAATTCACTTTTCATTTCTGTTCCTCCTTCAGATTAATTTAAGAAGAAAGTCTTGTTTGGTGTTGTGTCTTTAACAGTTCTTTAAAACTTAGTCTTCCTTGAATAACATTGCTTTCTGTTTTTTATCCCCATTCTATTGCATACTTAGGCTTAATTTTCAATTAAAGACAGATGGTACTTTTTTTTTTTTTCTTTATAAGATGATAAAGTGCCTTCTTTTCAAATATATTTTGAATAAGAAACTATTGTATTTAAGAAATAAATATGAGACAAATAAAGAGTATAGGTATAGTGATACAGAAAAAATCATTCACGTAGCTTTCAAATGATCAAAAGTCAAGCAAAAAAGAAAATATACTCTAATGTAATAGTCTCTCCTCTGAGCACTGACCAGCCTAGTCCTGCCCAGCACAGCTCCTCTCTCTTCCCCCTTCACTCATCATTAGGTCTCAGAGTCTCAACACTTGGAAAGTTTTCATTGAGTTCTCTAGATCACTTAAGTGCCTATTCCTCATGTTCCCAACCAAAAAACCTCACCACCATCGAGTCAATTCCAACTCATAGTGACCTCATTGGATTTGGTTTCCAAGGCTGTAAATCTTTATGGAAGAAGAGGGCTCATCTTTCTTCCATGGAGCAGCTTCTCGGTTTGAATAACAGACGTTTTGGTTAGCCGACCAATGCTTTAACCACTACACCAGCAGAGCTCCTTCATGTTCCCAAAGGACCCTATTTTTCTGCTATCATAGAACTTATTATCCTATTATTTGTAACTGTCTGTTTAATTACTGGCAATATCTGGTCAATAGTATTCTATGTATAGGTAGAGTCCTTTTCTATCTTTTGACCATTGTATCAGCAGCAGCCACCATGTAAGGGATGCTGCAGAGTGAGTATGTGCTAAGTGAATGAAATGCAGCCACTATTCCATATACCACTTTATGAATCTTCAGAGGATAGCCACTTTGTTAAGTTTGAAGTCAATATGGCACCTAGCACTGGGGGTGGTACAATCACTCCTAGGGACAAAAATCAAGCATGTTGAATTCACAAATGTATGTAATCATGGTCACTAATGGACTTCAGCAAAGATCATAGGTATTTACATTACTTCACAAAAACAAAACAACTCAGATTTTAATGGAGCAGTGGAAAGAACCCTGAATTAAGTGTCGTAGCCCTGACACTGTGCTACTCTGAAATCTTGGTTGGGTTACATTCCCTCTAGGCACCTAAGTTTCTCTATGTGTAAAACTGGGGGTGGAAGGTGAAGAAAAGAGACGAGTGAGCCCAAAAGCACTGACGTTCCACCCCTGATGTTTGAGAAGTCCAAAAATTTAAAATTCCAATTTTTTTCATTATCCCTGCCCGTTTCCCATCTTTACCTCTGGCATGACTAATGTGACCACCAGTCTTATTTATTTGATAGACTGATGTCTATGGAAAACAAGGGTTTATTAACATCAAATGTAAGTATGAGAATTTACCCTTGCCCCCACACTCATAACCCCATACCTGGGCCCCAGCTCATCCTCACTCCTCCAGACAAAGTCTCCAAACTTTTCATAGTGAGAGTTGTAGTGATGCTGGACTCGAAACAGCATAGAAGCTGAGACTTCCATCAGCGTGTTATAGGCAGTCTGCTGCTCCTTTCCACTTGTGTACCCATTGTACAGATTGTAGATCTTGTCAGCTATCTCTGAGAGGGAAGAAATGGAGGTAAATATTACTGAGCAGCAGAAAAAGTGAGGATAGAAACATGGCTTGCAACAAGAAAGACAATGATACATGGTACTTCATTTGCTTAGTCTTTGGGAGCAAATTTTAATTCCATCCTCAATCTGTTATTAATTGGTTGTGTTCTGTTTTATTATCTATCAACTAGAAAAAAAATGATATTTACTCTGTAGGTACATTGTGAAAATTAAGTTGAAAATAGATGTAAAGCACTCAACACAGGGCCTAGCATAAAGTTAAAAACAAATTGCCTTCAAGTTGGTTCTGACTCATGGTGGCTCCATGTGTGTCAGGGTATAACTGTTTCATAGAGTTTTGAATTACTGGTTTTTCATAAGGAGATCACCAGGTCTTTCTTCTAAGTTAGCTGCACACACACACACACACACACACACACATATATATGTATATACACTTTGGTAGTGTAGTGCCTAAGGCACTTGACTGCTAACCAGAAGTCTGGCAGTTCAAACCCACCAGCTACTCCTCGGTAGGAAGATGGGGCAATCTACTTCCATAGTGATACTGCCTCAGAAACCCAAGGAGGGGTTGCTATGAGTCGGGTCCAACTCAACAGCACATAACAACAACAACAACATATATATATATCACTATATCAGTATTGGATCAGTATATATAGTATTAGATAATTACTATAACTGTGCCAAAGATTTAAGAGAAAATTCCAAACAAGTGCAGAGGCTTAAATAGACTGTGTTGAGCTTCTTTCTAGACCTCCCTGTCTCCAATATCTCCCCTCTGTAATATATCTAATACATTTCTGTGGTCAGGTCTGACCAGATCTCCATTCAAAAACCTTCCAAAGAAAATTCATACTCTTCTATTCACTATTCCACATCACTCCTATTCCTTCAGCCATTCCTACTAATTGTTGTTCCTTAAATTCAATGGGGGCTGATCCTCTGACTAGAAGGAAAATTCTTTCAGTTTTGAAGGCTTTAACAAAAATCTATGGACTTTTGGGAAGATGGTGGTGTGAGCAGGTCTAATAGCCCAACCTTCTCACATATGAATTTCAATGAAAACAACTAGATACCTGCAATTTCAACTCGGCAGGGACTCTGAAAAGTAAGCAGAGAATTACAACAACTGATTGCTCTGAAACAAGCAGTAGATGGTTATTAAATGGTAGTAATATTTCATTTTTCTAATGTCTTCACCCTCTTTCCTCTTGGCACAGTAGCAGGGTGGTTGAAACAGGTGGAGCAAGGCTCATATTCTCAATAAAGGATCTCTGACCCCTGGCTCTGGAGTGAGGATGGCAGACTTTGCTGGCAGACCATTCTGTGTGTTTCCTCTGATCTGTGTGGGAGCTGTGTGAAGGACAGAAGTCTAAGTCTGGGCTCCATTGGTGCTCACACAAGACAAGGGAGGAAGTGGTGAGTAAAAAATGAACACTGGAACTTCCTGAGAATTTCATGCAGAAAATAATGCTTTCAAAATACTATTTATACAGAAGAATTGCAAAAGCCACATAATTGTTCGCTCCTCTACATTGTAAAAGTCTAATGTCTCAGCTTCAACAAAAATCACAGGCCTAAAAAGAAAATGGAAATGATGGCCCATTCAGAAGAACGAAATGAAGGAAGAGAAATTATTTCTATGGAATCTCAGGTAATGGACAGACTAGAAAACTTCAAAATTACATTATTAAACATGCACAAAGAACTAAAGGAAAACAGAGAAAGAACTAAAAAAATCAGAAAAATGATACTTGAACAAGGTAAAAATATCAATAAAGAGACACACTATAAGAAAGAGACAGAAGCTCTGTTGCTTAAAAATACAATAAATAAAATAAAAAATGTAAGGGAAGTGTTAAACATCAGATTTGAACTGTCAGAAGAAAGAATTGGAGAACTGCAGGATAAGCAATAAAAATCACTGAGTTTAAAGAGTAAAAAGGAAAGAAGATCAAGAAATCTGAGTAAACACTAATAAAACTTATTATTTATTAGTGATTCATGAGAACAAACACATATGTCATGAGTATTCTAGAAGAAGAAAGAAGAAAAAATATTTGAAGAAATAATGACCGGAGGTGAGGGGGGGAAAACCCTTGAACATGAATCTACCAATCCAAAAATCTCAACAAACTTCAAATAGGATAAGTACAAAGAGATCCACACCCTGACACATTATGAAAAAACTC